TATAACAGGAGGCACGGTGGAGTAATGGATAGCGGCTCGGATTGAGGTAATCGGAGAGCAGAGTTCGAATTCCAGTCGAATCCATTGCATTAACTTACGTGCTAATACCTTTGGGAAAGGTATGAATCGTCTTTTCTCCACTCACCTATGGGTAAATAGCAGGACAGACCGGATTCTATAGCCTTGGAAACAGAAGATATAAAGTTTGGCACACACAGTTAGGATCGAACTCACTAGGTGTTCTATTGTGTATTTTTAGTGGATAACCGTGTTTGAAATATGCGTCCCGGTTTCATTTTAAACAGTGCGTATTACGTCTGTCGCGCAATTGAGAAATCTTAATAAAGTAAATGAACATTCCGGCATGGTTCAAACCTGCAACCTCCTTTGTAGGAGAAACCACCATTTGATCTGCTGTACTTCAGACCGTTCGACCACAGAGAATGTTACGGCCCAGCAAATTCCTATTTTTCTGTTTAGGTGGAATTCAGGTTCGAACACTGCTGTAATTTCTATATATATTATATATGCGTGGTATTTATTGGAAAGCGTTCACTGTCAGTATGTGTGTGTGTGTGTGTGTGTGTGTGTGTTTAGGCACCTTATTTTCATTCAAACAAGTGTGGTTAAATATGTGTATGAATTTCTGTAAATTCAAAACATTTCTACTGTTCGTCTTCTGTGTTATGCAGCGTTCTAGATTTCATATATATATATTTCATATATATATATATATATATATATATCTATATATATATATATATATATATATATATATATATATATATATATATAATAATAATAATATATAAAAAAATAAATGAATAAAATGAAAAGTTACCTCCCTTATACTATGGGAAAAAATTCACCCAAAATGTGAATTTTGAATTTGAAATCTAGAACACTGAATAACGCAGTAAAATGAACAGTTGAAATGTTTTATTATTAATGCTTTATCTCTTAGTATCGAGCACTATGATTGACTGTTTGACTTTGTTGTAGAGTAGTTTTCACAGTGGAGGCTTGTATTTCGCTAAGTCGGTCCTAAAAGGGTCCGACGTACAAAACGTTAGGAGCTTGAAATAAGAGTTAATGACGCAGCAATCTAGTTGTGATGGTTGATACTTCAATGTCCGACATCGACTGACTCACTCAACACCACTGAGCTCAACTGGCCACTGCTACTACTACTTATTATCTGTGGGAGAGTCTATTACAATGGAATAGGTAATGTTCTGATATAACAGACTTAAAACGTTATATTACGTAAATACATTGGGCGGCTATTTTATATATGTATATATAAATAAGTTTCTAGGGCCACACCAAGATAAGATCATTTTTAACACAAGAATCATAGTTTATTTCTAAAATAATATACAACCGTATCACACCGAATAAAATAATAACTTTAGGTAACTTTCGACAGACTCATCCTCAGAAATTGATATAGTTGGTATAAATCTAAATTACCGAAAAGAAATTTTTTTTTCCAAAGACTGAATTTTAAAACAACACAAAAGGGGGAGGTGAGAAATAAAAAAATAAATATTTTCCCTTATTTTGGCCTAGAATTGGCTATGGATTCACCAAAAAGTGTGAGTTTTTACTTTAAACCTCTCCGCTTACAAAGAGTCGGACATCATATATTAATGACAACTACCTTCAAGATGTTAAGGTGCGTACCTTGTGCTCAACTGAGAAGAAATTCTTAGAGTAACCAGTCTTATAAGCGACTGAATTCAATAAACGTTCGCCGATAGCTGACTCATGGATCTGTGAGCGCCCAGATGTTACAGGCACATGTCTACGTATTGGCCAGATACGTGCTGTGCAATTCTAACCTCCAACGGCTAGATAGTCCTATCCACATAGACTCACATTGGCATTTATATTGATAAACGACTATACTCTGCTGATGGGTAGGCAAGACATCCTTACGGGCAGAGGGAGAGCCCTTCTGGCAAAAAAAATATTCCGGACTACCACCGAAATAAGACACCGCCCGACGGAAGAAGATATTTTATGGGCGTATACCTGGCAAGCGGGACCTATTCAGGGTAGTCTCATATATACAGGACACTTATATCGACCAAACACTAACTCCTTTAACACCTTTAACTCCTTTAAACTTAGAAAGTCTAATGGTAGCTGTAATCACACATTCAGGGTAACCGTTCGCCAGAAACAGCTGTTTAATTTGCTTGAGCTCAGAGTCAGGCTTACACTCCGAACAAATCATCAAAGCGTGATGAGTGAGAGTTTTGATGAGAGATTTTCCTGGTTTTGGGAGCGAACGAATCCCAGCTAAGGTATACCCACGAAAAGGTGGGTTTCCTATAAATACGAGTGAGAAAATATGACGGAGTTCTCTAAACCAGAACATCGAGGAAAGGTAACATTGTTCTCTTACACCTCCATAGTAAATTTCAAAGAAAGGTGGAGATTAATTAAGTATTGAAAACATTTTCCTGCTTCATTTTGCGAAGAAAACAATGTAAACGTATCATCAACATAACAATAAGGCTTCAAAATCTTGTCAAATAATTGTCTCTTGTGGAAAATGACAAGAGATGTTAGCCATAAAAGGACCCAAAGGACTCTCCATCGTGACTCCATCGATCTGTCAGTACATAAAGCTGAAGGAGACAGACTTGGTAGACATCTTCATCAACTCAACAAAACAATCTCAGGAAACTTTGGAGGTTTTAAGGAGCTACGATATTAAAAGTCCGCGCAAATATCAATGGTTTCATCAAAAAGGGGACATTTGTAAACAAACTGGATATATCAAAAGACGTGAAATAATAGTGTCAACAGGGGGCTGCAATTTGCACAAAAATTACGCAAATTGGATCGGGTCTGGCACACAATACTCAGAACAGAAATCTAAAACCGGATGCAGAACCTCGATAAGCGACTTAGCCAATCTATGCTGGACAGAAGCTACCATAGACAAAATAGGCCTGAGTGTAATGTCTACTTTACGAATTTTTGGTAATCTATACATCCTTTGGCGTTGAGAACTAACAGGCTGAATGTCATCATACGTCTCTTTCGAGAGGAACATTTTCTTATAAAGTTCTAATAATTTCTTCTGTAGTCTAATTTTCGTCTTCAAGGTGTCGGCACAAGTAACGTTACCTGGTTACCGAAATTTACTTGTGTCGTTCAAAATGCACGATGTTTTATTTACGTAATCGGAATAATTTAATGTGACCACACCTGAACATTTGTCAGGTCTGGGTATATATATGCCTTAGATTTGAGTAGGTTGGCCGTTTGGTAATGGTTTTTCTGCCAAGAGAACCCATGAAAATCAATAGGTAAATAGGTAAATTTAAGAAATTATGAGTGTATATATATATATATATATATATATATATATATATATATATATATATATATATAAATGAATCAAATAAATCTTAAAGAGCCAGAATAAACTACATAGGTTTCCGCTAAACGGATTTTCAGGGTGAGCTTACCTTGAAGATCTGTATAGGTGAAACCTAGGTAGTTTATTCCTGGCTCTTTAGGATTTATTTAATTTATCCCAGCTCTACTTAGTGTATTGAGCACTCTACGTTTTAGCTTTATTACTCGCTTGGGTTTTTTCCTTTGGACTAAGAACTTAAGGCGTTGGATGATTTATTTTGCCCAGTTCGGATGTTTCTAGTTCTTTCTTTTTTTTTCAAATTTTTTCCTCAGGTACCAATTTGTTTTGATAGACTTACAAGTTTTTTTCCAACCAGTATTAGTATGTTATATATATATATATATATATATATATATATATATATATATATATATATATATATATATATTTATGGGTTTAGGGACCTTTTAGGCACGTAGTGCACCAGGTTTCTATATTCGGTCCTTTATAAAGTGTGGTTAGTTCTGCACAAAGCTTCACCACTATAATCAAATCATATGTGCTGGTGTCTAGGCTGTCGGTTCCTATTAAATGAGCTGCTTGACCCTCATACGTCGAATACAACGGGAGAGTCCACCATATTCCACTAATTCATCGGCTATATTTTCTGTTTGAGCAATTTCGGATTTTTATCTCTTCAGTAAATTCTGTTGAATCCTTTTTTAATCATTAAAAGTAAAAACATCTAAAGAAAGCTAACACGAAACAAAATAGCTAAAAATCTATATACCATCAGCATTATCTCCTCTCTTTAGTAGTGAGATATTTAATATATTCCTCGAAACTCAGAATAGACACAAGAAAGGTGAATATTTATTTTAATTTATTATTAATGCTTTTTCCTTTGGTATCGAAAGATTATATTGACAAGTGTTATATTGTCAACACAAGGTATCCCATATTTGTATTGCTTATAACTTTTTGGTTCTGTAACATTTGAATATCTTATATTAAATAGTGTAGAAAAGGATGCGTAACCGATAAATGAAATTATATTGTGTTTTGTATTATAGAATAGATATTACCAAGTACAGATATAAGAAATCATTTCTTTCAAAAGCAGCATATTAACAGATTCTGTAGCAGTTGAATATCTTACATCAAATAGTATAGAAAATGATGCTTAACCGATAAATAAAATTACATTGTGTTTTGTATTATAAAATAGATATTAACAAGAACAGAATCATTTCTTTTAAAAACAAGATATTAACAGCTTCTGTAACAGTTGAATATCTTATATTAAATAGTGTAGAAAAGGATGCGTAACCGATAAATGAAATTACATTGTGTTTTGTATTATAGAATAGATATTAACAAGAACAGATATAAGAAATCATTTCTCTTAAAAGCAGTATACTAACAGATTCTGCAACCGTTGGATATCTTATATTCAAAAGGGTAGAAAAGGATGCGTAACCGATAGTCATTTCTGTCAAAAGCAGCATAGTAAGAAGATTTTGAATCTGTTTTGTTTTCTAGTTCTTGCTGTATTTTGAAAATCTGTTGTGAAAAGTCTTCATTGTGATCAAAAACCAGCTTTTACAGAATATTGGGTTTATTAGAATTCGAAGCAGATAAAAAGGTAAAAGAGAGAGGAAAAAAGAAAAAGAAAAAAGAGAGAAGAAAGAAAAAGACAAAAAAGAGCAAAAGTAAAAAGAAAGGGAGAAATAAAGAAAAGACCATAAAAGAAGAGAGAGAGAGAGAGAGAGAGAGAGAGAGAGAGAGAGAGAGAGAAGTGATGGGTGTGGGGAGAATCTAACGTGTCCAATAAATACCTAAATAAAAGCAAAGTCAAATTTATCAACGATCTTGACTATAATTTGCTTTCGTCTCTTTGTTCAGTGGCTTTTACGCCATTTTGAACACGACAGGCGGCAAACTTAGTTGGTAAAGAAACTCTTTTTATCGGGGGAATATCTCTTAAGAGACTTGTCGATCACTCAATTCCAAAACGTTGGTTCTTTTATCTTGATTTGACATTTTGTGCAAAGCTAACCATCGTCGTGAGGGAAAAATTCTTTATTCACCGGCTTTGGTAATCTTTCTGCATAAGTCACAGAAATTAGCATTTCATTTTAAGCGGGCAAAGCGTAAATATTTATTATGTATCTAAGAATGACAATTTTAAGGAACTTGTTTTTTAAATTCTGTTTTTTTTTTTTTAAATATTTTTTATTTACGTCTCTTACACAAGGGAATACGGGAAGGTTCTCGGCGTGACCCACTTTCCCAAATATGACCAAATAATCAAACATCTGTATTTTTTTCAGAAAGGGCTAACTGGTCCCGACAAAGTACTTTTCAGTACCTTCTTATGTGTTTACGAAATCAACAAAAAATACATAAAAGAGACCACAGTTTCAAAAATTTTATGCTAAAAATATGAATTCATTAATGTCTAGTTTCCATTGTCTCCTTCGAAGTAATTGCTTTGTGAACAAACTGGTACACAGACTGTACTGCTCACAGAGGAGGAAAGAAAACATAGGCTACAAAAGTTTGACACGTTGTCCAAATTCCTCGAACATTTTGGTAAAACATACTGTTGTTATTGATACTTACTTTGTATAGCTTAGTCTGATACAAAGCCACGTGCAGAGAGAACTCAGTAAAAGTAAATCTCAATGCAATAATAATAATAATCTGTTTCTTTATGTGTTGTGTGCCTTCAGGAGACGGGAAATCATAGCTATTCCCAGCTTCCTATCCCTTGCTCTATCATCTCGTTAGGTAGGTTAATCGTTGTTTTTCTCTATTCCCTCCTTCCCTCAATATGTCCTGTAAGTGTTAAAATTTCTAAGTGTTCTTTCCTCATAATGTATCACATAAATTTCAACTGTCTCTTTATGAGTTTAAGTATAAGTGTCCTCCTCGTTACCATTATATTTAAAAAAAAGTCCTCATTACTCAAATGTTTAGTCAATGGTATTCCCAGCACCCGTCCGTTGGTTGGTTGATTTTGTTTAGCGGCATACCATATGGTTTATTTAAAGATGAAATTAAATAATTTCAACGTAGTTGTATGCCTTCAACTCCAGATAAAATATATTGCTGGTCATGTTGCATTAAAAAGGTATTGTTGCTAATTTTACTATAAATAGGTATTGTTGCTAATTTATTTTTATATGAAAATATATTGCCGGTATTTTTATTATAAAAATGTATTTTTATGCTTTCATAGTGTTTTGTTAGGGGTTTCACTATTTGCCCATAGCTAGGACACCTACCGCTCTGGACCTGCGAACCAAAACAATTAAGTGGTGATTGCACGCTCCTCAAAATCCCGATTCGCAGCCTTGCTGTCGGATGCAGTTTATCGTCTTACCCAGGACAAACCCGTCCGTAGTATCATATGTCTCTTCAATTCTATTCTTCATCCGCTAGGAAAATGTCTAGCATTCACTTCCATGTAGGAGAATAGATATAACGTAACAGTTCGACATTTTCCATTGTTTCTAACGAAATGTTCCTGTTTGCGTATTTCTGGAAGACATCTTTCCCTAATTCCAATGTGACATTGGATTTCTGTGTCAAGCTAACAATCGTCTGTTAATATATTACTAGTTAATTTAACATACCTGCTTAATTTTGACGTACCTAATACGCGACTCACACTGTTTTTACTTAAACCATCGGTATTGGTTTACCAAATTATGCACAGGTTAACTAATAAGTTGAAATGTAAATTATTACCTTTCATAAGGCATGTGACAATACAGCATAGCCATTAACACCGTATGTACAATAGAATGTCTCACACTGTTCTCGTATGTAGTACAATGCTTATTATTTCAGCTGATGTCAAAACACGTGATAGATTCCAAGATTTGGTAACAAAAGAAGATAAAAAACAGCAACGTATACTGGAGATAGCTTTCGTGAGATTTAAAGAAACAGAACACCTATGATTCGTTTCCTTCACCCAACAGAGGCATTGCTGGCTTCTCATTCAAAATTGCGATTCAATGACACGAAATCGGTGAATAACGATAATAACTAGGTTCACGGTTGAGCGGTCAGGAATTAGAAGAGGCAATGTAACCAAGATTCGTTAAACAATGATTAGAAAAATAGTTTAGGCGTTTCGTCTTACCGAAATTGCATTCTTTACAATTTGTGATCTTCCGAGAATAGTCGAAAAGAAAAATGAGTTACTAGAACTGTTAGATATGACAGGAGACTGAATTTTTTTTTTACGTTTTATCTTTAACTACGAAAATGGGCTGATAAGTTCATAGGCTGACTATGAAGGCGTGGCACTGGAGCTGTGAAATATTGCATATATTAATTTGAACTCTTCTTATTAATAACTGCATTGTTTCTTTCCAGGTAAAGACTTAAAATAACTTTGACATCGCAGTGTTATCAAGTACTCACAGAAAAAAAGGGTTTAGAACATTCATGCTGACATTATTGCTACATTATTAGGGAGTGGTGCTCCAGCTTTATCAACAATATTCTGCACAATGAACTTAGCATGACGAAGGTTTCTGCTCGGTGGATTCCACGTCTTCTGAGACCTGATCAAAAGTGCATCAGGCAGACCACATCACGGGAACATCTGACATTGTCTGAAGCTGATCCAGCTGCTTTCCTAATCTAGGATAAATTTTGGGTTCATCACTTTTAACCAGACAAATTTGAAAATCCATGCAGTGGAAACAATCCTCCTGACCAGCTCCAAAAAATCCATTGTCGTTTCTTCTGCAAGGAAGGTAATAGCCTCAGCTTTTTGTGATGCAAAATCAACGGAGAATACTATGTCAATTTTCTGGGGCAGTTACGAAAGGCTATCAAGACCAAACGCCCAGGAAAAGTGACAAACGTTATCTTGTTTCATCAGTACAATGCTCCAGTGCATAAGTCCTTGATTTCAATGGCTACTGTGGCTTTGAACCAGTTGATTGCTCTCTTTATTCTCCTGATTTGACCCTCATCTGACTATCATCTGTTCATCAGCATGAAAAAAACACTTGGCTAGGAATCACTATCACAGTAATGATGACGTCATCTGCTGTTGATGACTTTTTTGACCTACAGGATAAAAGCTGAGATCCAAGCACTGCAACACCGATGGGAGAACTGTGTAGACCGTAAGAGGGCTATGTCGAATAATAAACCTCATTTGGTCGCATTCCATGAGAGTATCTTTGTCAGCCGTTGAACTTTTCAGCCGACCCTCGTTGAATATAATACGTAAAAAATGACTAGAATATTTACATGCGAATCAGCACTTCTGCCTAGGATCAGAATATATGTGGGGTTTGGCGAATGCCAAAATATCACTCCTTGGAATTCTGCCTTGGATCAATGTCAGTAGTGTTATAAATAGCGACCTGGAAAGAGAAATCGTTAAGCCGAGTTCGAATCCCAACAGAGTTCGTTACATTAACTTTCGATGGGAAAGCTATGATTCCATCTCTTCTCTATCCCCAAACAGCTATAGTGTAACTAATAAGGCCGACTGGGCCCACTAGTTTAGTTGACAACTAGTCTAGCAGAAGGACAAATCTGAATACAAAACCTGAGTAGTACTGTTTCGGAACCACGTGACACACCACGTGACACACCACGTGACACACCACGTGACACACCACGTGCACCCGTTCTATGTATTCAAACCTCTGCACAAGCCTTCACATCTATAATGCAATCATGTGAGCAAGTAGTCTGGCTGTTCAGTTTTGAGATCTGAATTGTTGGACCCTCAACCGTCGAAGACAACCAGGGAATATCTCATATACTTTGGCATAATTTGAGACACCCACATAAATCTACCTACAAAACACGTATTATCTTCGTTACCCGACTAATGTCGTGATCGATCCGAAAGGATTTTTTACCTTCCAATTATATCACTTCAGTAATTTACAAGTTCAAATGTCAGCGTGACGCTGATTGCGTGAATAGGTCAAAGGTTGGAAGTAAGCACGTACTAGCCAAGGCAAGTTGAATAATTTTCATCGATGCGTTTACTGAACGTTATTAAAAACGATCAATGAGTCAGATGCTATAATCCAGAGGTTCTCGGTACTAGGGGAGGTTACATTGGAATCTTATATCAGGCTGTAAGCAGAAAGAGTAGTTGCTAGGATTAAATGTAATTTAATTATACTATTATGAATTTTATCTGAACATCAAGAAGTAAATACAATATGTCCATATTATCCAATGAAACATGCTTATATATATATATATATATATATATATATATATATATATATATATATATATTAGTGAGTGGGTGATCGTGTTTGAGTAGATGTACTGTTTTCTTTTAAACAGCGTGAATTATATCTACTGTGTGTGCGCGCGTGTGTGTGTGGCCATCAATAACCTCTCTGTCCATGTCTAGCCAGTAGCAGAATCAAAAGAAAATAAAGTAGAGGAGGAAAGGAAGAAGAGGAAGCGGAAACGGAGTGGGCAAGTAAAATAGCACGAGAAAAACGAAAAGCAAAGCGGGTTAAAATAGAGACGGGGGAATTTATAATGGCTGCCCAGTACCATAGACGTTTTATCGGGAATTACCACGCAAGCATAAAAATGGTGCAGAACCACTATCTAAATCAGCGTTTCTCAACCTTTTTACCCTTGTGTAACCCTTAAAATAAATTGCATGTCTCTAGTAACCTCTGCGCAAAAACAAAATTATATATCTTTCTCATTTTATTTTCGTAGTTCACGTGGTAAATATCAGGGTATATATTTTTGAATAACTGGTTTAAGGAAAAATTAATACTTCTTTGTCAAATTTTTCGGTATTGCTAAATAAAATTCATACTGTTCATTGATAATACTTTAGCAGGGAGTTTTCATTCACAATAAAAAATTCTAAACTCAAACATAAAAAAATAAACATAAGTAACCAATATCATATACCTATAATATAAATGCAAACAGAACGAAAACAGTTAATTGCTGCATCAGTTTTTTACCCTTTACTGGCAATGTTGAAAAGACATAAAGTAAATCAAGTCAAAATGTCCTCTGAACCAATAAATATGGCTAAGAAAATGTTACTTTCAGCGCCATTTGATAAAGTGAAATATACTTCTCTAATGTAAAGACTGTACCTGTCTTTTGCTACACAAATACTTAATTCGAGGTCGAACTTTAGATAAACTCACACGAATTTTATTCTCAATTGAGAGGAGATAATTTCTGTCTTTGCTCTTGATGCTTGTTAAATAAGAAAAGGCTTGCTCACACATGAAAGACGTTGAAATCTGCAACAATATATTAATTGCTTTCCTATGAATAGTAGGGAATTCTTCTTTCACAGAAATCCAGAACTTGTCCAGAGATAGGTCTGCAAATCTTATTTTGAGTGTACGAACACACTGCAGCTCACAAAGTTCTTCCTCTTCTTTTAATGTCAGATTCTCAGGATGACCAGCAGATTCAGAGTATGGACCCCACACTCAATTATTCACCTGGAAGGAAAATAATTTTCAATTATGATATTCAGTTCCTCCAAATGGGATTCAATAAGACTTGAAGTTTTCTGATACCTCTCTTCACTTTCAAACCCTAGAATCTCAAGATTTCCTTTTGCATCATGGTTTTTCCACAAATTCACTTTTCTTTTAAATGCAAGAATTTTATCTCTTGAATTAGTATATTTTCTCTGGGGTTTTGCAGTGACTTGTTGTTGATTCATATGATGAAAAATGTCTGCTAAGTAGCTTAGCCTCTGAACTTACCAAAATCTTGCTTTTTGGTTTCTTGAAAGTATTTTCTGCACCTCACTTTTCAGCTCAAACACCTTATTTAGAACTCTTCCACCGGATTTCTCAGTCACCAGATTTCTGTATGTAGCAATAGATTTATGCGTTCTTTGTCCAGCTTTTCAACATTCTGGAATGAACTGGTCTTTGTTTAATAAAGTTGACCATTTTTTAACATCATTTTTTAAAACATTTTTCAGTTCATCTCCAAGTGATTTTGAAATCAGTAGAGATTTAGTAGAGACTGGCAAACGCTTATAACCAACGGATAATAGAAACCGGCAAACTCCAATAATTGACGGTTAGTCGATATCTGTAAACGCCAATAACCGACGGGTAGTCGAGATCGGTAAACGCCAATAACCGACGGGAAAAAAGAGCGGCAAACTCCAATAACCAACGGGTAGTCGAGATCGGTAAACACCAATAACCGGCGGGTAGTCGATATCTGGAAACGCCAATAACCGACGGGAAAAAGAGCGGCAAACTCCAATAACCAACGGGTAGTCGAGATCGGTAAACACCAATAACCGGCGGGTAGTCGATATCTGGAAACGCGAATAACCGACGGGAAAAAGAGCGGCAAACTCCAATAACCAACGGGTAGTCGAGATCGACAAACGCCAATGATCGACAGGTAGTCGAGATCGGCAAACGCGAATAACCGGCGGGTAAAAGAGCGCCATACGCCAATAACTGACGCGTAGTCGAGATCGGCAAACGCCAATAATCGACGGGTAGTCGAGACCGTCAAACGCTACTAGCTCACGGATGAAAGAATGACAAACGGTAATAATCGATGCCATGTAGAGACCGGCAAACGCTAATAACCAACGGATATTAGAGACAGGCAAAAGCCAATAATCGACGGGTAGTCAATATCTGCAAACGCCAATGACCAACGGATATTAGAGACAGGCAAACGCCAATAACCGACGGATAGAGTTCGACAAACACCAATAAATGAGAGATAGTCAAGATTTTCAAACCCCGATAACCCGCGATTGGTAAATACAATCATTAAATAATTAAATTAAAATTATGTAATTCTTTTTTTTATTTTGAAACGTAAGCCTGAATTCGTGGCTTCGTGACATTCTTAGCTCGCCTGATACATGTCAATAGCTAATCTGATTACTGATCGGTAAATACAGCTAACCGATGGTTTTCTAGATCGGTTAATACAAATAAACTAATCTTTGATTCGTCTTTTCTTTTTTCACTTCTTCATAATTTATTATTTTACCATCCATAAAATCTTATTTTATGATAGAAAGCCTGGAATCGTTGTTATAAATATTTTCCATCAATTTGAACAATTTGTCATTGTGACTATTGGAAATGCAGATCAACATTTTGAAAAATATTACTCACATTAGCCCCTCCCTGATTTCAAAATGTATTAACGCGTGCGATTGCAGGATGTTTATAGTTTCTTTTATTTATTCGATCCCCTCTGCTAAGTCGACTTCATGGACATTTTCACAAAGAATTTTCGCAATTTTCTCCTCATGCAGCCATTTTAAAATTATTCGACTGACGTAAAAATGTTACGAGATGTTTTTTAACGGATTTTCTCTTCACCCCATGCCTGTGATATTGCAGAAGATTTTCGTAAATAAACATATTTTCTAATAAACACTTTCGAAGACAAATATATTTGACGGGAAGTGGGGCCGGGGAAGGGACAAGAAAACAACATACGATTTAATATATTTTCCAATAAAAAAAGTCTTGCATGAAAAATACGTTTATGAAACTGTTGGCATTTTTTTTTTTTGTTGGCTTCAATTATTTTCAACTTCCTCTGACAAACATTAATCAATATGTTTTTTTTAGAAATAAAATCACAGCGCTGTAATTTTATTTTTGCATACATTTTTCTTTCCTCGTAAACATTTTTAATAATCAGAACTGATAACAACAACAACTACTGCAACAACAACAAAAACGACAAAAACGACAAAATAAGGGGAGGTAATTCTAAAATATTTCAATAAAAGTAATAATTATTATAAAAAGGCTTATGGCTACATCACCTTGAAACATCGGTTCTCGTACGATCACCAAAGATAAGCAATGTCGAGCCTTGTCAGAACCTAGATGGGTAACCACTTAGGAATGTTAGGTTCTGTAAGCTTGGATGTGCGGGTGGTATAAGTGATAACGGTTCGGAATTGGAAATTGGAGAGCCAAGTTCCGGTCAAGAGGGTTTTGTTATACTCATTTATGTGTAAATACCCTTGGGAAAGGTATGAATCCACGTTCCCCACCCAGTAGTTTCTCTACGTTCCCGATGGTATAGTTAATCCAAGACCCACAGGTACAATATTCCATTAAGACCGAGCACACAGCCATATCACGCTGAAACACGGGTTTTCGTACAATCACCTAAGTTAAGCAACGTCGAGCCTGATCCACATATAGATGAGTATGCGTTTGAAAAATAACAGGTATTCGAAGCTTGGAGGTGTGGATGGTGTAATGGCTGACAGCTTGGAATTTAAAATTGAAGAGCCGAGTTCCAATTCCATTTGTATTTGTTATACTAACCTATGCACAAATACCTTTGGGAAAGGTATGAATCCACCTCTTCTCTCTCTAGCTATGGGTTAATTATCAGATTATATATAAGTAAAATCATTATTATCTTAAAAAATTCTTACAATCTGAAAATATGTTTTGGCGTTAAGTAAATTAAAAAGGTTAATAAATCGTAAAAATCAAATTAACCAATCAATATTATAACATTAATAATAGCCTCAAAAGATCAGAATAGTACCCGAGAATAATAGAAAATTTGAATAAGTTATTAAATTTATACTGAACATAGACAAGGATTAAGTGGCACCTGCTATCTACAAAAGGCCAAGATGTTTTCTGCTTTCTACAATTTTAATGTTATAGTCATTCGGCATAGTCATTTCTACTATCTGACAAAATAGCTTTTCCTTTTTCACACGAATAATTTTATTACTGTAATTATAAAAAGTAACAAAAACAAATAAATGTCTTTTGACAATACAGTCCAAAACTAGATGCACAAATATTTGGAACAATTGGCTAAATCACTTTAGTAACCAATATGACTAGGAATGTATTTATAAAGTACTTTTTGAACTTAAATAATTACGAGTATGATAATTCTCCTCGCCTAATGACTGCATCATGAATCAATGGGCATTGTATTTTTGAAAAAAGAAAATTCTACGTAGAATATTTCGATGATATTGTTATGCAGAATGAATACATTATGTCGACTATATTTTATTTCAGTTTACTCTTGATGTTTTTTCAGGTCTTCTAATGCATAAACAATATTAGGAATAAATATCACTTCACGATAGTCATTTTTATTTTGGAAGACATCAGGACATTTTCTAATGCTGAGAACAATCAGGAATATAACTATAAGTAATCGATCTGAACGTGTTAAAAACGAACGCTTCTCACCACTTCTTTCTAGCCATTTCTGTCTTCCATAGCTCTACCCAGTTCTCCATTTTTGATTCGGGTACCTTAATTGATCTTCTTACTGATAAGGCTATTTGATGATCCATCTCTTGATCTTTTCTCTTAATTAGAATCCCATAGAATAAGTTGATGCAAAAACTTGTTTCCTCCAGCAATGGTCACTAAATAGCAAACTCCTTTCGGAAATATATGGTATTCATAATCTTTGGTAAGTTCCACTATATTTCTTCATTGGATAGATATTGTTTCCAGTGGTCATTTAGCGCCGCTCTCGATAATCGAATATACATACCATCTATTACCAATAATTTCATTAATTGTGTAAAGACGGACTTGTACAATAGGACTGTTTATGCTGTGGACCTAAAGTGTTGTAATTTCAAACTTTTCATTTTTAACATCCATATGGTATTAATACTTATAGACTTGCAATATTATAGAAAGCATTCTGATTTATGATTTTTGAGCCTTGGCGGACCTATATTTTTGTGGACCTAAAGCATGAACAAATGTGGAAGCCCGTTCGCAACCACCAACAATAGATTCGAGGATCCGTCTTCCAAAATGGAAGCGATCAAAAATTCTGGTGATCGCACGAGCCGATGCGACAAGGGGTTCGGGCGCTTCTAGCCCCCAAGAAAAGTTTGAAATTTGACCAATTTTAAGGTCATATGAAATGGGTATTAAAGTATATTTTAAGACAATCATTAACTATTTCAATCCATTGGCTCATGATTCTATCACTAAAATAGGCTTATTTTAATAACCAACATTTAGGGGAAAAAAAACATTGATTGTGTTGAAAAATTACCTCATTAAAAGAGTTGCTCCAGGTGCTCCTTTGGGATTAACCCTCTATTTCGAGTGGCTTTCGGGCTTTCTACAAGGTGAACATCATTTTAAAAGGAAATTTTTCTCATTTTGCTAATCATCCTTTTGTTAAAAATTGTCATAATATGCTACACGCCTTAGCTAATCCACCTCTTTGAAGAATATAATGTGCGGGTTTGTCTCACAACATGAACACGAGTTCGATTCTACTTGGCAGCTCGCAAAGACATTGCCTTGTATAAAGACCTGCATTAAGCTTAGCTGAATGAAACACAATGGAAAGAAATAACAAGTGATGCACAAAAGTGGAGTGGCATTTCAACTGGATTCAAACCGGGAGGCAAATAATCAACTATTTCATCTACGAGTTATGACTGTAAAAATGTATTTAAGAAGGCTAACTCTTTTAAGGCAAGCGGTCTTTATAAATAAAGGGCTAAGTAATAAGAAGAAGCAGAGGAGTGACAACAAATAAATCTGTTTACTTTATATAATTTACGGCCACATCACAGCTGAAAAGACTAACCAAATAATAACCCAAAACTAATAAACTCTAGAAAAATATATGTAAATAAGAAAATTAAAAAAACAAAACACGGAAAAATGTTTCATCCTTCTTCAATACCCATGAAACCCCAATAGACTAGGCTCGTGGTCTAACGATTGCTTATTAACACTAATTGCTATGTCTACACCTTTTCTTTCTTTCTTTCTTTCTTTCTTTCTTTCTTTCTTTCTTTCCAAACACACACACAGACATACACACACATTATCTATCTATCTATCTATCTATCTATCTATCTATCTATTTATCTATCTATATAATAATAGATAATCTGCACTTCAGTTTCTTATCTATCTAAATATATATAATATATATATATATATATATATATCTGCCCTTCAGTTGCTTATCTATCTATCTATCTATCTATCTATCTATCTATCTATCTATCTATCTCTTTCTTTCCAAATGCACGCACAGACATACACACACATATCTATCTATCTATGTAAATACACACATATAAATATCTATCTATCTATTTTCCATTATATTTAACATTGTATTTATCTATTGACCCATTATCTGACACGTCTGTTCATGTTTTCTAACACATATCATGTCTATATCAGTGTGTTAATATATATCTTGCATGTAAAATGTTTTCAAATGTTTCATTTAACGAAAGACACATACATATGTTATTAGCAAATCCCAAAGTATATAGTCAAACATGATTTAAATGATGTCAGTTTTATTTGTCTGCTATTACTTACTGAATATATTAAATGCTAGCCAGAAAGCAGGTCCCTATAGTTTTCAATGATATGGAATTGAGATTATCTATCAGATAGGCGTACACTTTCAAGTTTTACTGCCAATAAGTTTTAAAATCTTATTGTGTTGCTGAAATATATTTTTGAGTTTTTTTTTATATGTAGGTAATGCAATATTCTTTTTCTGAGGTAAGACATAAATACAGAGCCAAATATGGCT